CAAAAAGAAAATCCTGAAGAATAATTACACGGACCAACAAGTCAACCTAGAAGCTGTTCACATCATACAAAAAACGAGGAAGCAAAGCAATTACAGAAAATCGACGATCGATACAGCAATAGCGGTAACATGTTTGTGAATGCTCTTGACAATCTTCAGCGTTGGAGATTTAAAAAAATTACTAATCAGATATCGTTGTCCTATTTTAAGTCGATATTTAAAATATAGAAATATAATTTATAATTTGTCATATAACGTCTAATGGTGTAGCAAACACACCAAAAGTGTGAGCGAATATATATATAGAATAAAGAATGGGGATTCGTTTGTGTAGTGCACTATCTGGAAAAATTTCACTTAATTTACAGCACCACGTTGGACGCACTGAGATGGAAATCATGTATCTCTTATCTCCTTAAATATTACGAAAATAAATATATATGACCTCCAGTTTTCTTTTTCTGCGATTAAAAGAATATTAGTTCATTCTATTTATATGTATACAAAGTTCTGCGATTTCTATGCAACGATAAGTATATGAACCAGTGCTCTGACCCCATTCGCATAATAAAGCGTTGGTGATAGCAGATCATGTATGACCACATAGCTTCCTCGTATTAGCAAACAACCAAGATATATACATATATATATATACATATATACATATACATATATACGTATATATACATATATGCTGCAACAGTGTTTGGTTCCTAAAATATTCTTCTATTTTTTTTTGTAAGGAAGTCAACAAAGATTGTGTTGAAGACTGATTTCTCTGGAATAGTACCTGACTGCGATTAAAATGTTCACACACGAATACCTCCCTTCGTATTGAATACGATCACACGAAATAATACAGAAGAAAGTTTGATTAAGAAACTTTCGTTCTTTGGGACATTGGTTGTACACTGAATGGCAACGGTACAACTCCAATCACAGACATCAAATTACGAATGAACGTAAACTTCAACGTTGGCAATGATTATGAAAAGGGATGTGGATCCTATACCTTCTTGCTAATGTCAGTGTTCTTGCGCTTTCTGCCCCTCCCCCCCCTTGCTGCCTGGTCGTTACTCACAGGATGATTGGTTGTTGGCTCATTGTCTGTTAAGGTAGGGGTGTCTTTCGGGCTAGTCTGACCAGCTGGCGCAGAAAACCTCTCAACATACGTAGACCATTTTTCAGATACTGTAACTCCTTCCCTTTCTCTTTCCCTACAATTGTTGTCCATCGCCTCATCACCTTCCGTATCCAATAATTCCATTGTCATTTTGCAGTCCTTCTTATACTGTAACAACGGAAAATTATACGTTCGAAACGCGCAATTAGAAAGAGAACGATGCACAATGTAGTTTATTTATAAATTTAGGTTATGTCCAGCGCATGCTAGTAACTGTAACTGAATAATTCATTAAGCAAAAACAAAGTAAAATGTATCGTATTAAAAATTGAGTTAATACTAAAACACTTACTATATATATTTTGAAACAATTCTCATCCGCCATAGCCTTCTCAGCTTTACGTTGATACGCCATTTCTGCACCAAGTCTCATATATGCGGTAGCACATAGACCACCCGCGCCATTGCTTTCTTTTGGTTGTCGTTGTTCTCGTTGGAACAATTCCATGCATTGTTGGCATATAGGATCAGAAACTAAATGCTGTAACTAAAAATTTCATGGTGTTGTTTAAATGCGGAATGCCTCTCAAACAAGTAACATACTTCTCCAAAGCATATCAAGAAATGAACACTTACTTGTCTCACAGCGTATGTTACGACCTTGTCTAACGTAAAGGCAATATACGCGTGAATACCAAACATTTCCCGTAAGGTATCCTCGTACGCGGTACTTTCCATATTGCCGTCCAGGACATTCTTAACCATATCCAGAAATGCAGGATAATAATCTTCAATTTCAATTTCATCTGTGTTAAATATATGACCGTATTAAATCAGAATCAAATACATTTAATATGGTGTTACTTGTACAAACGGTGAAACAATGTATTACTTACTTTTAGGTTTTAATCTTAAGGCAACAGCTGTACTCTCTTTTCGCTGCTGTTTGTAGCGAGACTCCTCTTCGGCGAGGGCGACAGCCCTTTCGTACATTTTAGTCAATCTTTCACAGAGAATATGATGTAACCTCAAGAAAAGGTACCAGTTGTTGCTGCCCATAAAGAGCGTGTACGCTTCTTCAGGATCATTCGACAGAGCATGAATGGGTAGTTTAATGTCAGGTTCGGTTTTAATCGACGTGGAAGACGGAATCGGAGATGCCGGTGCCTTATTCCTATTTGCTTGTAAACCACCACCCAGTGGAGAAGTATTCATTGTCACTGATTGAGAATTACTACACGCTGCCACATTCAGATCTTCTTTTTCATCTATCATAATAATACAAATCACATTTCGTTAACACACTTCACGGGACGCTAATATGTGTTCTTAATCGTTAATATTTACTTACCATCTTCGTCTCTTTCATCGTCACTGAGCTCTTGACGAGGATGAAAGAAAAGATCAGGTATAAAATGCTTCAGTAAAAGCTTTATTCGTTGCTTGTCTTCTTTGTGGATGGCTGTCTGACGTTTTACATGATGAATCAGAAGATTGGCTGCATCGTCTAGAACCGATTTATCCTTGTAGGGTAGTACAAGATGTGGACCACTGTTATTTTGTCCGTCCGCGGCACCATCGTCCACTTGTTCGTGTCTTTCGTCGTACAACGTCTCAATCTCATTAAATAAACTTTTAGACCTCAACGCTTTCACGTCACTTTGCTTGAAGTTAATACCCTGATGATCTAGGGATTTTAGGTAATATTTTTCATTTTGCTCCCTCCAAATTTTATTAAAACCTTTCTGGGCCTCTCGCCATTCTTCCTCTTTACTTTTTAGTCGCCGGAGAACCACAGGTACAGCTACTACAGGGTTCCTCTTAAGGCCTTCTATAATATCGGCAGCCTTGTCGCCGTATATCCTTTTTAGGGCCCTCTGATGAATCGTAGGGGAACAACCACCGAGACAATCGTCGAGCTTAAATTTCTGAAGTTCCTCCTGACTCATTCTACTCATTTTCTTATGAACACCTTCAAGCACTCTGATCGTAGACGCGTTCGTTTCTATCACGCCATCCAATTCAAATCGTTCATCCTCGCAACGATAAATAAATTCCTCGTATTGGGTTTTTCTGAAATGAAATTCAGTCACAAGTTCACATCAGTCACGTTAATCAATTATTAATTGTCAGTTAGACAGAGATATGACAATACAAACCTCGATGTTACAAATGTACTGTCTTCGGACCAAGTTGGAAATGATACCCATGTATCGTTAAGAACTTCTTTACACAACTGTGTTCTTCCTGTACACTTTGGTTGAATGTAAGACTTTGGTAACGCGCAATACGACGCCCCTAGACGTTTACATGCTGCATAATCAATCTCCATGGCAAGATCACCCTGAGGACGTTCCTGATGACTCCTTACAACGTTATTTGGTAATGCTTCAACATTCATGTTGCTTGCCGTATTGGTCGTAGTTGTAGTAGAAGACTCGGGTAAATGACCCAAAAAATCTTTGAACCAGCGTAATAGCTCAGGAAAGCGACCAAGAAACGGAGTTACTAGTTGCACCAATTCAGATTTAGAAACTATTTCTTGGTTGAACAGGACTAAACACCTCAAGAAATTTTCGTAGACTTCTTGAGACCTTAATGCTTTCCGGACCTGCACAATAGTATTTGAATTTTTAGACATCTTGACTAATTTGATTAGTATATCAATTCTGAAGTAGGATTATTACTAACCTTATCGAAGAATGCGTAATCGTTAAGACTACCGTATTTTCCAGCCTCCGCTATAGTGACACATTCACGCATGGATGAGACTTTATGCTTTTTCAATGGGGGTGGGCCGTGCTGTATATGATGAGAATTGCCGGCTGTCACCGAAGGCAAAAACGATGGACTCCTCTTTAATTGCCCCGCATTATGTACAAATTTCTGGACACTGTTGATATCCCGTACGCCAGACCTGTCCCGTTCTCGTTCACGATCCCTATGATCACGGCTCTCGCGTTCTACTGTGCCAGTACCACTCGACTCCCGGAGTTCACGTGAGATATTCCCCGAATTATTGTAAGGTGCCTTAGGTCCCATTGGTTTTTTAACGATTGTGGTGTGATCATTAACTGTAGCAGTCTTGTTACTCTGAAACATAACGGACTAATACCAATCAGAGTTCGCTGAATTAAAGACAGGTTTGGAAAAATCTTAACTATAATAGGGGACACCTCAAATCTTTGATTTGCCCTCATAGTTAATATTAGATATTATGTGTCACTCACCAATGAACTCTGTTGGTTAGTGGCATCCGGCAAGAATTGCCCAAACTCTGCGAGCAAATCTTCTTGATTCTCAAACAATTTGGCAACTTGAGTATAAACTTCTGCTTCGGTTAAATGTTTTGCCCCACCCGTCCCACCAGTTCCACTTGTACCACCCATGTGACCAGATTCTTTCAAGTTCCGCTGTTCTTTCTGGTAAGTATGTAAAATTTCTAAGAACCGTTTATATTTGTCTGGTTGACCTTGGAATCGGTTCTGAAGTTTCAAAAAATTTTACATTATTATTAAGACAAAGCGACACAGCATATCATTACCTGTTCTATTAAACACAAACCTTGATTTTATTAACATAATTAATTGCATGGTTAAATTCAACCGGTTGACTCTGTTGTGTTTGCCCACTACTAGGTATGCCATCTTGGGCTTGACTTAATGCTTGACTCACAGCCTGAGCCTGTGCTGCACTAACGTGTGAGTTATTGTATGCCTGCACCGGTGGAGGTGATGGTGCATGTACGGTTAAACTGTTGTTAGAAATATTGTTTGAAATATGGGAATGATGTATATTCCCGGACCTAGTTTAAAATAAAAATATCAATTATTTACTAATTTTTTAACAACAAATCCAAAAGATAATGCTTAGGATATTAATAATTTACCCTTGCATTATTTGCAAAACTGGAGGTGCTTTTGCTGGTTGTGTTGGTGGACTTGCAACAGGAGGTGAACCAACGTTTACTGTACAATGATGTTGCGACAAGGTAGCAGTATGAGTTGCTGTTGGACTCGGCATACTAACAGATACTTGAAATGCATATCCTTGCTCATTTGCTTGCACCTCTATTTTATATCCAGGTGGAAGAAATGTATTGAAACCAACTATAAGCTCAGGGTGTCCTTTGAACAAATGACTCACTCGTGTTATAACTCCTGGAGTGTCTATACTTTGTGATTTGAATTCTTTCATAATATCTAAGAAGTCATTATACACCTGCAATCGGGTATACAATACAATCATTAAAATCAGTAACATTTGCAGAAACAGTAAAATTTACTGCCTAATTAATCCTGCCTTTACCTGTGGCTGATCGCTAAATTTGTACTTGACTTGATCTAAGTAAGACAATGCATCCTCTACTTTTAATCTCTGAAATTGCTGGGAACCACTACCACCACCTAAGCTAGAGCCTGGTGGGGTAGAAGCTAGTGGTGTTACATTGCCAGAGTGAACCTATAAATGGATTAACAACATTTTTAATTCAATACCGACCATGGACAACCCTAAACTTCATACACAATACTGCTTAAATTCTACTTCTGTCAATATACCTTTACGTGACCACGAAGATGTCACAAAATTGACTAGTTTTCAATATTTTATAATTTATTACTATATTGTATGTTATTTAATATGAACCTTGTGCCTTATTGTTGGCTGTTGCTGGCTATGAACTTGACTTTGTGTTCCTGGTGCAGGTTGTTGAGAACCCATATTATGGTTACTCCCACCACCTATCCCACTATGCAACCCTCCACCAGTATTTACATTGCTACTGCTACATGTAGAACTAAGTCCTGCAGATCCACTTCCCTGAAAAAAATATAATAAAAATTCCAAAATATTCGCGGCGCGATTATTTCCTCAATGGCACATGATAAACTCAATGCAAGTCAACAGAAAATCTTAAACGCAAAACAACAAATAGCAATAACGCGTTGCAAGTATTGGAATCCCGGACAACGATCTCGAAACTCTACATTCGTTTAAGCAGTTTTGCATCGAACGGTAGAAATTACATTACGAAACCAAATTTACTAACGCGGCAATTACAAAAGCATACCGTGCGGACGTTTAATTCGACGATTCGCTTTAAGCGGATTAATTTCATTCGCTACCGCGTCAGTTCTGCGTGTATTTGTATTCCATGAGAGACGATTACAGGAAACAACATCAAAATATAGGAAAATATAAAAATATATCACGACTCAAATACGGTAGTAATAAAATAGAAAAACGTGTACGAAAAGTTTCAATTCTTTTTCTACTGGTTGATACTGTCGTTGTACGCAGATAACGCACCTTAATGGGGGACGGAGCCGCGGTCGGCACAACAATTGCTCCAGTGTATTGCTGTTGAGCTTGGGCACTTCCGAATTGTATGCTTCCCGGCATTTCTTTCGAAGTAACTGATCGAACTGCTTGACCAGGTACAACAACGCCTATTCCACTGCTTGAATGATACTCCAAACCACCTCCTCCGCCACCTAAGCCACTTCCTGCACTCACTGACGAGTGCTTTAATGTTGCTGCTGCTGGTGATGCTACCTCGTCCAGCCCGCGAACGCGTTTCATCGCAGATCACATTGGAAATGCTACGAATCGAGAGACAGTGTCGTGTAGACTCATATTTCATGTATTTCCCATCTCATCCCTCGGATGATTATTCGAACGAAATTAATTGAGCGCGACAGGACTCATCGGAGTTCAGCCAACGTGCTTAACTAACGTTACGTGTTCGTATAAGGGGTAGCTAAGTATTATGCCTTTTTCATTTAGTTTCATTTAAACCCCCTAGAGTTTTTTTAACGGTGAAAGTAAATATAATGACGACACTCGTCAGTGTATAAATAAAATATTAATAAAAAGATGATGTTTGTTTTTTTTTCTTCTAACATAGCGAGGAATAGGAGGTTCAAACACCGTCTCGAGGAAGCGTTCAATTATCTCTAACTGTAGGGAACTTTTCGACTTTATTGTACTATTCAATAATTTTTTAATTGTTTTGTGAACAATTATGCTCACGATTGTAATCGAACATTTCCTGCCAAAGCTAATATAAACAACTGTATACTTGTAAATATATCTTGCACACTAAAATGTTTTTGAAACATTTCCAATTTCCGAGTACTCTGAAAAATTCACGCTATTTTCATATGAAAGAGGTAAAACAATGTGATTGTTTTGTGCCCACCGATATCCAGAATCTGAACCGAATCTACTTAGGCGGTTTTAATTCTTAGATTTTTTTATTGATATTTTAATTTATATTCTGACAGAGATGGCGCACTTCGAACAGTAAAAAGTTTAATATTAATGAAAGGTAAAATAGATATTTCAATCTTGTTAATTATTTTCATTAACTCGAAATGTATTGCAGTTGAACATTTTCTGATCTGGACTTTTATACAGAGATCATTTTTTCAATTTTATAATATCGTTATTTCATAAGAAATTTAAAATATTAAATTTGATGAAAGATAATTTTTTAAAATCGATATTTTAATCGAAATAATGCCACCTGAAAATCGTCTGCTAGGTGCCGCAAGAAGTGCACTGTACGACGATAACGTTGCAGGTCTGTTTGGCGCGCCACAGGCAAACGGAAGTTCAAAAGTGTTCCGTATTGTTTCGTTTACGGCGATAAAATGACGCGACACATCCGCAATACGTGAACCAAGCGACACGTAAATGAATTCTCACGCCGGTCGAAATTGTGGCCTTAATAATGAACCCGATATTATTATACGTTTCGATTTTATGTTGAAGAATCGTTTTGAAAGTTTGAATATGCCGCGCTCCGTGTGACAGAACTCGCGACGAAACCGAAGCACCGCCGAGCACTTTCCCGTAACTTCGTGCGTAGAAGAAACTTCTCGTCCATAGATACGTAAAAGTCGTCAGAAAATCGGCCATAAGGTGAAAATTTATTATTCTTTTAAACGAAAAACAATTGATTACGGGTTTCGATACTTCTACTCATATATTTTTCACTCTGAGTACGTAAAGTATGTTCATATTCCACGAAATTAATTCTCAGTATGTGTATACGTTATCTGATTATAAACACATTATTTGTCATTGTAATGCCATTTTGAATGTTCAAAAATGTCTGGTGAGATTTTCTCACTCGATTTTCAAGTTAAAAATAATTGAATTACTCATACCTACAATTACTATATATATTGCATAATATTAAATCGTTATTGTACACGTGGTTGTATTTTCCAATAATTATAGATATGAAATTTAGATATAGAGAACAAACTGTATATTGAATAAAACGGAATTCTTATTAAATTTTGGTTTGATGATCTTTAGGTAATATAACCTCACATCAAAGATGCTACATACAGTATGTAAGTATATGTCTGTAAAAAAATATGAATAAAACAGAATTCTTTCGAGGAAAATGAACAATAGTTAATAGCATCTTATGCGCACATAAAATTTACATATTTTTGTTCCCATAATTACTTATCGTTCTTGTACATCTGTACTCATCATGTTAACAGATTCATTCATTTATATATTTTAATTCTCAATCACTTTTAAAATAAGTAAAAGAAGTTGCAGAACATAGAAACATACATATTTTAGATTATCGTAACATCTACTCAATATTAGACTTATAAAAATTGGAGATAAACTGTAAATATGTTATCTATGTAATATCTGATTTTGCTTTCTTACAAACTTTAGAAATATAGTTGCAGGATTTATTCATAGTTACGTAGAAATACCTTAGATGAATATTAATCATCATTTATATGAACATATCAATTATTTTACTTATACGAATAAAGTAATTTTGACCAGAATGTGTTCTATTCATATTTTTGCGCGTACTTTGGTATTTTTGATGTTTCAGTGTTAATCCACTGATGTTGAATAATATCTAAAGGATGAGAAATCATTTTTTCTTCGATATTCACTTATACCAATATGATAAGAAAGATAAGTTTTATAATATATCAAATAAAATAACATTTCACAAGATGATGCAGAAATTCTCTTACAAAACTGTATGATTCGAAAGATAGAAGTTGTAAGGGATAGAAGTCGTATTCTTTTAAGAAAGTTCCACTGTAATATAAACTCCCACATAAAAATAATTATAACAACTGCTTCTGTAACTATAAAACATATATATTCGCATAATAGATCATAATGACCTTGTATAGATATATTACCACAAATCCAGAGAAAGAAAAATATATTGTGGACATTGAATAAGTAAATACGAAATACTAGTTTCTTAAATTGTCAAGGACAGTAATGCGAAATACGCATTGCTTAATTAACAAAAATGTTTGATTGAAATATGTTTCAAGACCAAGCCTTAGCTTGGTCTTCGTCGCTTCTTACGTATTAATAAAGAATATAAGAATATAGAGATAATACAACAAAATTATGAAAAAGAAACTTAAATTTTATATTTAGCAGGTACAACGCTAGATGAAAAAGATTCCAAAAGATACAGCGAAGGAGAATATTCTCGATATTCGTAAATAATATAAATACTTTCCAAACATCAATACAAATTCAACGTTTCGTAAGGAAACTTAGAACAGCACGGGTAAAAAGTAATCGATTCCCTCTATCAAAAATCTCAAGTTATTAACACTAGAATGTAAAATACTTCCTTCGAGTTCAACATTTTTGTGCAAGATACAAATGTCCAAATAAAAATGAGTAATAATAACATTCGAGGAATGTTTCAAGACAGCATAAGCCTAAATGTGGCTGTTTGAAAGAAGTAGAAAAAGTTACATGAAGCCTTCAGTAACCAAATATATTAAGTCCTATTCATGAGAATCTACATGGGTTTGTTTGATCAAAAGGAATAGATATTTCGTATGCAGAAACCTAATGCAAGATGTGTACATACCAATTTCCATTTGAAAAGAAGTTGAACGTCCTTGCACCAGGGTAATATCGAGGGAAGAGATGTCCAGAAGCAAGTGGTCGAGGTGAAATGGTGAATCGGCGATGAAAGTTGTGCCCTTCGTCGTGGAGATACGACGGTTGTTGGGATTTCTTTCTTCGGAAAATTTCGATCGCGGTATCGGGCCTCGCGAGGGGATTTCGCTGGGGCAGAGGGACGAAATAGAGCCGGTAAAGCCAGCTGCACGGACGCGTACAGGCCGTCCCGTGAAGTCGTCGAAGCGAGGTTTGTCAGTGTTGCACGTTTCCAAACACTTCCCGGCCCTCGACGTTACGCAATATTCCACGTAAATACATAACACATTTCCCCGAGAGAGCTCCAGTGAAAATAATCGTCCTGCGGTGCTCCTTTTACAAAGGAACCACCTCGAGGTACACCTCGGCACTTGCACCACCTCGCCCGCTCTAAATCGGTCCTCTTTTTCAGCCGTCCAACTGACTTTCTGCACAAAAGCTTCGGCTCCGTTGTTTTTTTCACGACCAAAAAATCGACGGAAGCCTTAACGGGCCGGTCGGCCTGCTCGCGACAGGAATTCACTATGCTCTCTCTGATCTCCTTCTCAGTACCATCGGAATCTCGTCGTGTGTGTAAACAAACTTAGTAAAATGCACATTTTCGCGAGTATCTCGAATGGATTACCGCACTTTTTCCAAGGGGAAAAAAGGTAAATGCAAAAGGCATACTCGCACTCTCGAGGTACAAGGCAAACTATTGGATTTTGTATGGCAAACAAGGAACTGACTGGTCGTATAGCGGGATGAGGAAGGTGGAGGGGATCGCGCAGGACCGTATTCATCCGCTAAGCGTCTCTGTTACCAACCACTCGGGTACCTCCTGCAAAGCGTATATACGACGTGCCACACACAGCCCTCGCGAGAAACTTCTCTTTCGAACTTTCATTAATTGTGCATCGATTATTCCTCGGTATCTTTTTACCGTGAGTCCTTCTTACGGCGCGGACACTCCGTACACACTTCTAACCCAACTTAGCGGATCCGGAATCACTCGGAATGTAATCGCTACGGCGAAGTTGTTCGTAAACTTATTAACATGACAATTACGCACGCGTGAGTTTGTTGGAATTGTATTTTTTCTTCCACCGTCGTTTTACCACGCTTCCCGGACATTCACTGACAACTCGGCCCTGTTAGAATATTACAGGGAAACAATGAATTTTTAGCCGATCGGAATCCACTTGCGCCTTTATTTATTTATTTCACCATTGTTTCCTTTTTTCCTCGACGCGCCGTTGCCGTAATAACTCGTGCACGTTACGCGAACAAGTTGACATTCTAGATAAAAAATCTTTCTCGAGAGAAAAAAAATAACTTTATATCTACGGATAGAAACGTTTTGTATCGTACAGTCTCGAATAACGAACCATCATCGGGGCTGTCGGTTTTAAACACTTTTGCACATGATCCTCCCGTGAAGTCACGTTAATAGTAATACACGAATAAATAACTATGAAGCCACACACAGTTTACGAGGTTCTGCTCGCTGGTGCACTATTGTACTCCTCACAGCATATGGAATTTTAATTACGCCATAGTAGACGGTGATTTAACGCGGACTCAGTGAGATACGTGCATTTTCGTACGAACACGGACAACACCGTCTCGAACATTTCGTACAAACGATGTGAAACGGAGAAAAAAAAATCATGGAAAAGTGATACGAGAGCCAGTCAGCGTGATACACAAAAAATCACGTACAATACTATTTCAGAAAGACCGTTTTCTCTCAGAATAAATCCCATTGTTTCCGTTCCGGAGAGATTCCGATTATTTTAGATCGAGGAAAGTCTATGTATCGCGAGAAATCGCACAAAGAAACTAGTGCCAGGCATCTTCGAAAGAAAGTCGCATCGCGTCGATGAAATTGAAGAATTGCATGGTGCCTAGTGTGTCGGCGGTTGATACAGCCCTGGAAATTGTGGCGGCGAAGCCGCCAAGAGGCGCGCGCAGTCCACGAAATATCCAAGCGTTTCCCCGCGGCCGACATGTTCGCGCGGCCAACAGCTGTTCCGAAAGGCGAGCGAACTCCCCATCGTAATCTGGGTCATGGAAACTGCGCAAAATGGGTTGCACTTGCACCGAAAACGCGCATTTCTTCAAAAATCGCTGGATCGCCTTCAGAATTTCGTCTAATCCTATGGACGGAACTAGCACGCGATATGTTGCTGTCCACACTATAAATTGCCATTCGAAATATGCAACCTCTTGCGACCAGCCGTTGCATATCTGTCAACGTGCTTGACTGGTTCCCGAGCAGAGAGCCGTGCGTCGATTGGCCGAGGATTTTCGGGCATCGACCTACGCGCGACTCTCGAAACTAGGATCGCGAGTATTTCGCAAATTTTTCTTTACTCGAACACTCGACTGTCCTACGAACGCGAATATCCCTTCGATACTGGTGTACTCGAGTATCGCGTTGTATATCGGGTCTGTAGTTAAATATTCAAGCTGTCAGTATGGCCAGTATCTGGATACCTGAGTAGTCGAAGTGAATGTGATTCGAGTCATTGAGTATTTCTATATTATATACGTTAATTGTGAATTGCGTATATTTTAAATCGAATCTCTTGAATTTATTATTGCTGAATTTCTGTTAAACTTAATGTACATTGAACAATGTAACTTTGTTGTACATGTCATAAACTTACAAAATGATTCACGACTTCTTCCTGTATTAACTGGTAGGATGTAAACTTTATGTTTTACAACGCATGTAACAAAATGTTTAAATATTTAAGCATAGAGTTTGTAGGTTTAAGCATAAGAATGAATATGTATTTAATTGTTTGAGCATTGAACTGGTATTAGAATGCGAGTAATGTCCGAATATTCAGGTAAAATCTTATTTTGAATATAATATTCGAGTGTTTAAGGAACAGACAGAAAAAGCGAGATCTTTATGAAACATTCAAACGCTGAATTATTTGAGTAGTCAATCCATGGACATAGGAATATAATGACGGAAGGTATGATTTGCTGGATAGTACGTTATTCGAGGGAGAGGGGCCCCCAACATTGACGCCTGGATTTCATTGGATGGTTTTCCACGCATGCTCTGTACCGGGAATTATGAAATACTATGAACTACTAACTAATATCACAGACTTTTTCGGTATTAATATTAATTTCACAAGGAAATCTTGTAAATATAAAACCTTGGCGTCCTTCAAATCAATTTTCAATGCAAAGAGATTTATTTTATGAATATAGTTTCAGGACTCCAAAATATAGAATGCACGTACAAGCGGAAGTGATTTCCCAATGCACATACCTACTGAAGTAGCTGCAACTTTGCAATTTTAATATACGTCGAAAGGATTATAATGAATTAAAATATTGAATACAGGTTATAAAACTGGAAATTATTATTTTTTCTAGGTATCAAGACTTTGTGGGGAAGCATTATAGATGATACGAAGAATATTTTCAAGAAACGTATATAATAAGGGATTAAATGTAGAAAAATGTAAAGGATAATGTCATATTGCCAATGAAGAAACAACAGCATTGGCTCAAAGTTATATTTTTTAAGGTCACTTAATTTAGAAACACGAAACAAGTTCTAATAAATGTTTCGCCTCTCTAAGAGTGTTCTGGAGTACCATTTGTCCATATTAAAAATTCCATTTAATATGTCTTTTTCGGTATTTCCTTCATGGGATTTCCATTCACTTTTCTTTGTAATACCGTGTGATTTAGCGAAGTATCCGCTGCACACGTGAAACGCAATCGGTATCTATGGAGTATGTATATATGTAAATACATACACTACACCACGTGATCGATTTGGTATTCTCTTTTACTCTTTATAACACTGTTAAATTTATAAGTTCTTTTTTGAAAAATTATCAGTATTGCGATCATGTAAAAATCAATACGTACAGAATTAAGGTTAACACGATATTCGGCTCATCGTGAATTCGGATATTGGCAAGATTTTGAAACAATCTTTTTCTACTATAACGTGTATCACGTTGAGTTGATCGAAGTTAGAATTTGTTTGATTATTTCGTGTGGTATTAATCTTTAGAAAAACTGGTAAAGGAAATACTTGAAGAGTAATCTGGTTGCCTTTTCTTCCATATTTTTGTATTACGTAAATCACAAATAAATCAGTTCTGGATACATAATATTCTTGTTTCATTATTAAAGAACATTATGTTTAAATATATTTTCCAAGTTCATAGTTGTTCATTTCAGTATATCTTGCCTGTTTAAAAAATGTTGCATTGTGAAATACAAATACACATTAATTTACATGTTACATATTTATTTAATAGGTACTTTCATACAGTTCTTAAACTACCAAATCATTCACCATGATACACACATGACAAAGATTACAATTTAATCAATTTTATGTAATAAGAATTTGATATTACATACTTTTGATAAAAATATTATCTTCAGAATGTTTAAAAAAGTGATTGTGGGCATATCTGGTGGGGTAGATAGTGCTGTAGCAGCATTTATGTTAAAAAATAAAGGTAACTTAAAAATATTGCAAGCACTAGTATTATTCATTCACGTATATTTTTAAAATATTAAATATAGAATTTTCAAAGGATTCAATGTTACTGGAGTATTTATGAAAAATTGGGATCTTGTTGATGAAACAGGACAATGCAATATAGAAAAAGATTATGAGGATGCACAATGGGTGTGTAATAAGTTACAAATACCTCTTGTAGAAGCAAGTTTTACCAAAGAATATTGGAATAATGTTTTTAGGTATTTCTTTTATTCGTATAGTTTCTATGTTTATTCATTTTTATTCAAGAGTTAATATTTTACTTTTATTACTCTCTAGTTATTTGATAGAACATTATGAGAAAGGATTCACTCCAATTCCAGATATTGTATGCAACAAAATAATTAAATTTGATAAATTCTTTCAATTTGCACGTACTGAGCTTCAAGCTGATGCTATTGCAACTGGACACTATGCTAGAACTAGTTTTGGTCCTTACCTTCAGGATTTTAAACCAGATACAAGTATATATAACATTTATGTATTATAGTTATATACGACATTTCATTTTTCATAATGTTGTGTTTAATATTTCTTAGATGTTCAATTATTTAAAGCAACAGACAAAGATAAAGATCAATCATTCTTTTTATGCCAGATACCACAAGAATCATTACGATACTCTATGTTTCCTTTGGGACATTACTTGAAAACTAATGTTAAGCAAATTGCTCGAAAAGTTGGTTTGGATTTAGTTGCTAAAAAAAAAGAAAGTATGGGTATATGCTTTGTGGGAAAACGAAATTTTCAGAATTTCATATCTGAGGTATACAATAACTGTAGCTATACATTATTACGCTCTTTACATGTTATTTTATTATATTTACAGTACATACCAGAAAAGCCAGGTAGTTTTGTAAACTTGGAGAATGGAAAAGTGGTTGGAGAACATAAGGGTTTTCATCATTGGACTGTAGGTCAAAGAGTAAAAATTGCAGGACAGTCAGAAGCATTTTTCATATATAAGAAGATTGCTAAGAGTAATAATATACTTGTAGTATGTAGGAATCGTTTAGAAAGAATAATTACTTATTGAAAATAAAATAAAATGCTGTTACTTATTGTTCATAGGTACAAGGAACGAATCACCCAGCATTATATTCAGATCTAGTGAAAACTGAAACTCCTCATTGGATATCTGAAGAACCGAAGAAACTTAATAATTTTTTTAACATCATGCATTGCAATTTTCTCTTTCAACACAGAGATCCTCCTGTTCCATGTAAAATTATGAAAACTGTAACCAATGAATTAATTATTAAAATTAGTCAACCTTTAAGAGCAATTACAGAGGGGCAGGTACAGTTTTCACTTTATTCATTTGCTTTTTAATTATTTCATCATAATAATACTTATAATAATCGTTGCTTCAGTTCGCAGTTCTATACAATGGAGAAGAATGTCTGGGCAGTGCCATGGTTGTAAGTCCCGGTGCGTCGTATTTTTCCTTCGATCGAGAAGTAAGAATGGAACATTGGCGAAGGCTCAGTAAGAAGGCAAAAATTGCGCCAAAATCACAGCGAGCGAGTTACAGAGACATAAAAAGAAACAAAAGATTGTCAACAACTTGAAATCAGAACCGTAAGAATTTTATTTTTCACTGTAAAGTATTTTTGGTTACAACACAACGTTATTGTGAAAAGTAGAAAATAAAGATATTGGGAAAACTAATTACAAATTTTAATACCGCCATTCTTTCAACCATGATGACCCCTGAGGATGAACTTTACGGTTACGATATAATGTACTGGAACTTCCTACCGAATCACGAAGAATGTATTAGTAGGAGAAAATTACAAGCTAACAGTAAGTTAATATTATAAACTTATCGACGAATCCACGACAATCTCGTTTACGATGACTTAGTCTACCAGCGATATCTTGCCTCCTGAATCGAGTCTTTCAAACAGAAGAAGAAATGAACCCCTTAAGGATCAACCCTAGATTTTCGCACAACTGATTCTCATAATAACAAATTCTAAACCACGTAGAAAACTTGTACAGAAACTTATTCATCCGATTTCAATCTCAACATCTCCGGCTTAAAATGTCAAATATAAACCTAGTCTCGAGAGGTAAAGAATATCCTCTGCCATTCATAGACGTTTATTGCTCGAGGACTCATCCGTTAACGCACGAAAATAACATAATCTCTTTAGAACGTATATAACTATAAATCGACGCGCATCCACGAATCCTAGGTCCCGTCGTCTAAAGAGGCCTATACCGCGTGTACCGATATGATTGCCCGTACGCCATTTGAAGTTCTTACGTTTTGTAACGGCAATCCGGTGCTGGCGATGAGAAAAGACGTTAATAACGTCGGGGGGTCACGTGTAGAATGTAAAACAGCGCGTCGCGTTATTGAACGATAACTGCAAGTTATTAGGGTCGATTGACGAGTAACTGGACGTAAGGAGCGCGTAAAATGGCCCTCGCGGTGTGCGTGCACGTACAGTGCCTCCGCCTCGATTGTTGGTTACCATCGACATTGGCGTTGACCGCCGACGTTACATATGTAAATTACTCCCCGTACAAATGTCGCGGGGACTAATTTGCCCCGTACGCGCAATGTTACATTAACATTCGTGCCGTGATCGCTGCCCGCACAATAGCTTCAGAGCGCTTGTTCCTCTTTTACGGGCGGCAGTGTCACCGTGAGGAATCGGCGGTCCGGTGGTTTTCGCTCGGACGGCAATCCGCGCGCGGCACGTCCTCATCAGTACGATCTTTGGTCCCGGTCTGGCCGAAGGGACCGCGGGTGTTCTCCGTTCGGCGATGTAAAATCGGGCGAAGTTGTGACAGAGCGCGCGCGTTGATAATCCAAGAGGATTCCATCCACCTCCGCCCCTCCCCCGCAACCCCGTGGCAGAGTTATCCGATCGTGCACCTTGCGGCTAAAGATTAACATGAAGTAGAGGCGGCACGACCGTGAACAGGGGACTTGCTTTCAGAAAAGATGAGGGGTGGCAGCAGCTTGAGCCAGTACAACGACGACGATTTCTTCAGCGGCGGGCCATGCCCGTCGTGCAGGCTGGCCATCAACAAGGAGACAGGACGATTGAAGTAATTAACGGAGCCGGCAGTCGGTTTCGGTAGCCGTGCAGGATAAGAGTTTCTCGTTGAATTGTGCAGGTGGTGCATGGGTGGTAACGACACTTGGCGATTTCGCGTGAAACTGATGTTACTGATCCCGGCCGTGTTGCTGCCCATCACTATAATCTTCATCGCCCTGTCGCGGTCCCAGGTGATCGGGAAAGCGCCCTATCATCAGACCTACCTGATACACGCGACGGGACGCAGGCCAGACGAGAGGACCGAGGAAACCATTCCGCGTAAGTCCGTCGTCGTGGATCTTAAAATGAACTTGACTTTAACGACGTCCGGCTTCCTCGCCGCTCAAGGATCCATTTAAAGCGAAGTGCGTGCGCGTGGCCGTGATTTCGCGGACAGCTACGCCGGAAGTATCGCGGGAAACCGTTAACGCCTGATAAAGAAATGAACCACTCGTCTCATGGTAAACTTGAATCCGTGGTGCATGGAATAATAGATTTTCCGACGTGAATAGTCCGTGAATAGACGTTTCTAAATTCCTGTATTATCACGGTTTTCATTGTCCTCAACGAAATACGCATTTTATAGGAGAATTGGTTGCTTATCTAAAAATAGGGTACATAGTATTATCAATAGTGGTTCAATAATATCTATTACAATACACAAAATCTATCGAGGTTGATCAACCCCTGAATCATCCCTCAATCTTCCCAATAGCACTGTCGGACAAAAAATTCGGGACGTGCGACGCTCCCCGTAACGCTACTTCCGGCGTTTAAATTCCAGCTGAATCGTATTTGCATAAAGCGGATATGAGACAGCAGAAACGGGTATTAATTGCGTCATAATTAGGAACAGAATTTCTCATCTTTTACGTTGCCCGAGATGGTTGCTCCGATAAAAGTTTCGCTCGCCGTCGCGACGGAACAGATGAAGGGGCCATTACTCGACAAGACTGAGAAAATCCGCTCAACGATCGATTATCTAACACCGCGATTTCTGTTAGCAGCGACCGGCTACGTCGAGACGGAGCTGGCTGCCAGGGAGGAGGATGAAGAACGGATCCTAATATCTGGAATGCAAACCAGCTACGTACCGGTGGAAACAGCCCTTCCGCCGCGGCAGCTGCAGCGACGCAAGAGAGAACTCGACGGGGTACATTCCTCGCGGACAGATTGAAAGCGACACCGATTAATCGATAATCCTTTTCCTTGGATCGTTTCATTTTTCACTGAAAATGTACTTCCGGTTTCTTAAGTTCACGGTCGTCGGTTGGAAGAAACATTTCTTCCTGTACCGTTCGGGCGTAGCATTTTGCAGCTTGATTATCATCGCATTCGTCGAGCTCATTAATTATCCGTCGCACAGAAGCAACGTGCTTCTCTGCAGTAATATAGTAATATACTTCAGAAGAAGACAAGACACATCGGGTAACGAGTATCGTGTGCGCAGTAACGTTAATTAGCGTTAATCAACATCAAATTAGTGTTACTGGTGCACTGGAGAAATATCGATCGTCCCACTGCCAATCCTCTCGTTTCGCACAAGGACAATTAAAGTTCACTCGTCTCCTCTCTTGTCGCTAGAAGAAACAACTCATAAGCAGAAGAAAATCGTGTTTATTATGTAACGTTGCTTCGAACGCCGAGGCTCGATATTCTCGAAATTTTCGGAACTGTGTGCAGGTGCAGTCGACCGACTACGTCACCGGGAAAATAGACGAGTGGAACACGGACGAGAACTCGGAGAACTTCCTGGACGATTATTACCCCGAGGTGGACGCCGAGGAGACGAAGGAAAACTCCGAAATAGAAAGCAACGATTACCAAAAGTTAGTTTCCCAATTGTCCAACGTGGAGTCACGTTTTCTTCCTCGAGCCACCGCTCGAAAGGAACCGCGTACATTGAAACAAAATTCTATTCGAACCGCTAGATAGAAAATAATGAACAAGACACCGGCAGTTTAAACATCTCGAACTGAATTTACGTTTCCACCGGCAGCTACGAGCACTCCTGCGACAACCACAAAAACGAGGAAGAGCTCCGTTCGAGATTGTCGAGTGGAAAGTACGACGACAACGAGGACAATTCCCAGGACGAGTCCGACGAGGGTGAACAGGGTGGTAGACACTCGATCACGGTCGAAGATCCGGACAGCAGCTTGCCGATCGCCGACGAGCAACTCGACGATGCGGTCGCCAACTTCCACACGTTCTGGAAGGACGAAGGGAAAGAGTGGGACATCAGGGAGGCTCAAGGTACACTTGGCAAGCTGCCCCTCTAGCCGGCCTGCGTAATTTCTGCTCACACGCTTTTTAAGAAACAGATGTTCGCCGCAGCAAAAATCATGCTCACGTACATGGACAGGACCGCCGATCCCTGCGAGGATTTCTATCAGTACGCGTGCGGTAACTGGGCGAAGCACAATCCTATACCGAAGGACAAGGCGGCCTACGACACGTTCGAGATGATCAGGGAGTCGTTGAACATCGTCCTGAAAGAGCTGCTCGAGGACCCGATACCCAAAGAGTTAGAGGCCGACACGGAGGACGCGACCGTCAAGGCGAAATATTTGTTCCAGAGTTGCATGAATTACGGTAACTACTGATCTGGATCTTTTTCGTCGGAACGGAAAGCCTCTTTGGATTCTTAACGCTGGAACTACCGAGCATTCAACACTAGATTCACGGACGTTTATTTTAAACTTTATTCTATTGCTTCTAGAAAACTATTCGTCTATATAAATCGCGAAAATTATAATTTCAAAGCCAGACTATTGCTATTCGCATAATTGCACGAATCGAAATCGACTTAAACTGATACTAAATGAATAATTAAAAAATGCAATATCCGTCAAATTGACGGGTTCCGTGAATCTAGTGTTAATACGATTAATATGGAATCAATATCAAAATTGTAACGATAGATTATTTTCAATTTCTTCAGACATTCATCGTAGTGTTCAAGTGAAACTGTTTTCAAGATCATTTCGAACATTCGATGCTTTTAAGATATCAATAATTCCGAAACAAAAAGAAACCAGTGATTTTTATTAGCAGTCAAGTTGACTTCTCAAAATTTGTCTATAGAAACCTCAAGAGTGTATATATCGAGACTTCGATCACTCATAACTTAGTTTGCGTATTGTTAAAACAATTTCTTTAGAAATTTCTTAGAAAAGGATCTACTATTTTGTCGATAATTGTAAAAGAAGAATTTAGGAATGGGTCAGTTTGATCTATGTAGTAGTTGTAGTGTTATAGAATTTTAGCAACGAGATAATGAGTATTATTTAAATCACTTCGGTCGAAGTTGGTGAATCATTTGTGATTAACCCTTCGCACTCGAGAGGTGACTTACTCACCACTTGATTTCACAGAGTAAAACTATAAAATTCGATACTTAATATTAACCCTTGGCAGTCCTGTGTCGAGTCAGACTCAACATTATATTATTGCAACCTCTACGTGTTTTAACAATTTTTCCTATATTCATTTGTAGCATCACAATTGTACCATTTAAAGGTAACATTTCAATGACTCCCAAATATTCTTGAGTAAATAAATACAGCGTCGTATTAAGCTGTAATTGAATGAACTAACGTCGACGTGAACCTCAAAGTGAGGAACCAAGAGCACTTCGGACCGCAAAGGGTTAAACTTCACACAATGCATCAATTTAAGAAATATTCAAACAAAATAGCTTTGTCGAGTTAGTTTCACAAAGTATCCTCTCCATCTCATCAAAAGATGTTGAAATATTTCCAATGAAAGACTTCCGAGTGCAAAGGGTTAATTCAATCTTCGATACGGGGAGCATGTTTTAACGCGTGAAATGTGGCTAGAGATCTTGGAGCAACGCATGGAACAGCCGCTTATTCAGCTCCTGGATGAACTCGGGGGTTGGCCGATCCTGAGACCCAACTGGGACCCGGAGAAGTTCGACTGGCTGCTTCTGGCTGCTCAACTGAGACTGTACAACAACGATATCCTGATCTCTGAATGGGTTGCGCCGGATATTAAGAACAGCGACGAGTACATAATACAGGTAACGGACGGAGGAATCCAGAAACTTAGAAGTCTAAAGTCTGTTGACGCTCAAACTTCGAATTACAGTTCGATCAGACGTCACTGGGACTTCCCACCCGGGATTACTTCCTTCAGCCATCGAACACGGTGTATCTGAAGGCTTATAGAAATTATTTGATAAAAATCGCAACTCTGTTGGGCGCGTCTTTGCAGAATGCCACCACCGACGCGGACGACTTGATAGAATTCGAAACCAAGTTGGCTAAGGTACTCGATGCTTCTTTCGGTTTTCAGTTGGAAACGGTTGAAATTCTGAGTTTCGTTACAAATTCAGATCACTTCCTCCCCGGACGAGAGGGAAAACGTTTCGGAACTCTACCAGAGGATGAGTATCGGGGAGCTAAGGAGCCTGGTCCCCCAAATCAACTGGCACCGGTACCTGACGATCGTTTTAGCGCGACCGATGAACTTCTCCGAGCCGGTAGTCGTTTACGCGTTGCAGTACATTCAAGATTTGGTGAACCTGCTGTCGAGAACCAGTCCACGGTACTGCGACAGTGATAAACTGAAATTTCAAATCGAACAATTTCTAATCCTTTCTACTTTGTTCGCAGGACCATCGCGAATTATCTTCTATGGCGATTCGTCAGGCACAGAGTGAACAATTTGGACGATCGATTTCAGGACGCGAAGCAGAAATTTTACTACATTCTCTTCGGCAGGGAGCAGGCGCCTTCGAGATGGAAGAATTGCGTGGCGCAAGTGAACTCGAACATGGGCATGGCCGTCGGATCGATGTTCGTGAAGAAGTATTTCGACGAGAAGAGCAAAAACGATGTAAGAAACCGAAAAGAGAATGATCTCTGGGTAACTTTCCAACGATCTTATTACCTTGCACCGGAACTGACGTTGTCCTTGCACGCAGACTCTGTCCATGACTCGAGAAATCCAAAGGGCGTTCAGGGAGCTGCTGAATCAGACCAGCTGGATCGACGACGAAACGAAAGAGCTAGCGACCGAGAAAGTAAACGCGATGCTGCTGAGGATCGGCTATCCTGACTTCATTCTGCAGCCGAAACTGTTGAACAAAGGTTACAAGGATGTAAGCGTGGAAGTTGATTTTCCGCTTCCCCACGGAGATTAGATTATCGCGATAAAACGCGCAGGTTCTGCAAACATACCTAATACGGTGATACTTTAGGTTGTTGTCCGTTCAGACAAGTACTTCGAGAACACGTTGAACATATTGCAACACCTGACCAGGGTGGGACAGAATCGGCTGGGCAAGCCTGTGAATAAAACCCTTTGGAACACCGCGCCGGCGGTGGTCAACGCTTATTACAGTCGAAGCAAGAATAGGATAAGTTAGTTTAATTTTCTCCATGAACAACCGAAAAAGGAAAAAGAACTGGAAAACGGCGAGAGGGTTCAGCGAAGAGTCCTGTGACGTTCATTCTAGAGATTCGAACGGAACCAAAATAAAATTCGACTAGATACTTCGTTATCTCATCCTTGCACGATAAGATCTGTTTGCAGAATGATTCATTCGCTATGGAAAATCCATACTCTTGTTGAAATTCCGTATTCGATTTTTATAGACTCGAGTGAATGAACTGTAACCAATGAATTACAAGATAGCTGTCTATGAATTAACAATCAAATCGAAACTTAACCCTTTGCACTCGAAAGGTGACTCTCAGTCACCACTTGATTCGATGCAGTGAAACTATCAAATTTGATATTTAATATTGAACTATGTACAATGCATCGGCGTGTGAAATATTGGGATAAAAAAGCTATAGAAAATCCATACTCTTGTTGAAATTCCGTATTCGATTTTTATAGACTCGAGTGAACGAACTGTAATCGATGATCAATTACAAGATAGCTATCCATGAATTAACAATGAAATCGAAACTTAATCCTTTACACTCGAAAGGTGACTCTCAGTCACCACTTGATTTGATGCAGTAAAACTATCAAATTTGATATTTAACGTACAATGCATCGGCGTGTGAAATATTGGGATAAAAAAGCTTTGTTTCCTCAATTCACTTGTGATTTCTCTTTGAGTCCCTTGAAAAAAACATCGCCTTTGTCCAGTTAGAAAATGTTAAATATATACAGCGAAATACTTCCGAGTGCAAAGGGTTAATAATCGTCAATTGCAAACGATCCTCTCGAAGCTGCCCTCTCCGTTTTTCGCGACACGATATTAAGCTTTGTCCACACGACTCAAAGGAGAACACAACTAATCGCAACACAATTTCCACCCTCAGTGTTCCCAGCCGGCATACTACAGCCGCCATTTTATCACAGATACTTTCCGCGGAGCCTGAATTTCGGCGGAATCGGTGTGGTGATCGGCCACGAAATCACTCACGGTTTCGACGATAAGGGTCGACTGTTCGATAAGGATGGTAATCTGCACCGGTGGTGGAACGATGATGTTATTTATGGCTTCCACCAGCGAGCCCAGTGTCTTATCGGTAATGGGACCGTTCCGCGTTCCCGCCTCCCGCTTTCTCCGACGTCCATTTACGAGATCGAAAACTCGTTTAATTTTTCAGACCAGTATAGCAATTACACCGTCAGCGAAGTTGGGATGCAAATCGATGGGATCAACACGCAGGGAGAGAATATCGCGGATAACGGCGGCATCAAGCAAGCTTTTCGCGTGAGTTAAAAACGGAATCACCTGTCGTTACCGAAACGAATATTTTTAAACTCTCAACGCGTTCGCTACCACCGGTTATTTCGGTGAACTACAATATTCCCTCAATTATCATATTCTCTCCGATCCAATAAATCTAAAGAAAATATTAGAAAAATGAAACTGAGTCATTAAGTCCCTAAATATAATATAGTTTACAATTTCTAATAATATCTAAGTTTACGGGCATTTATTGTAGTTTATTCCATTGTTCCTGGGAAAGTTGATATTCGTTCATTTAGATTTTGGAACTTGTAGATGTAGAAATAGACAAAGGATTCATATTCGTGTAATTGGATCAACGAACACCGATTGAAACATTTACCAAATAATGTTTATAAAATTCAATCAAATTGACGCGTTCCGTGAACTTAGTGTTAATTTCTTTTTCATTATGTAGAATATAGAATTACAGCCGTCAGGAATATGTGACGCTGGTAGGAAACGTGTTAATTTAAAATTTGCTCGAGGCCATTCTCATTATTCTTGTCACTAAAATGCTCGAAACATTCGCTGTCTCGCAGGCCTACGAAAGATGGCTGCACCAAAACGGGGATGCCGACGAGACGCTTCCCGGATTGAACGCGACAGGGAAGCAGCTGTTCTTCTTGAATTTCGCGCAAGTGTGGTGCGGCTCGATGAGACCGGAAGCAACCAGGAACAAATTGAAAACGACCGTGCACTCCCCCGGCAAGTTCCGAGTGATCGGCACTCTATCGAACTCGAAGGACTTTTCGGAAGTGTTCAACTGCCCCCTCGGTGCGCCGATGAATCCTGTCAACAAATGCTCCGTTTGGTGACGAATCGGGAGGCTCGTCGATCTCCGATCGACACGAGTCTTCGCTTCGACGGAAGAGAACGCGAGGAGGAGATTAGTATTACGTTGCCTCTTAGATCAAGCTGATCGATGACGTAAGCGGGATCGCTGAAATTAACCTTGTAATAGCACAAATGAATCACTCGATCCGACTCTTCTGCACGCCAGTGCTGCAAGATTTTCGAAAAATATTTCCAACATTTTCGCGAATGCTTTAATCATTTACTAAATCGAACAAACGATTCCTTATACTACACGAATTACTTCATCGTTACTGGAATTAAATAATTTATCGATCAGCTAGTCAAAATAATTCCGAACGAATAAAATAACGATACGAAGTCACTTTCCCCTATTTTCCATAGCAAAATCGACGAAACCACCGTTTCTCGATACAAACGATTCGTTTCTATTCCACGATTAATCTTCGGGTCCCTGACTCATCAAGCGTTCGTTTCAATTAATTCACACGCTTTGTAAGGGTAGTTTATTCTCTAGGGCAATCGCTTTGCGATCTTCGTCGCGACTGAAATATCACGTGGTTAGAGGATAACAAGATGGCGGAGCCAGAGACGGCGCGAGGAACAGCACCGTCATCGATTAGGGGAACTAACAAGATACTTCACGTAGTTTTCGTAACTGAAAGATAATTAAAGGGAAACAAAGGAACATTGAACGATAGTTCGGCTTGCTGGACCGAGTATCGTGCGGCGAGCCGGTTATATATTATGTATTAACGGGACAGCTGCGCTGTCGCCGACGTGAAATAAAATTGTACGATCAAAAGACAATAATAATTTCAGACAGTCATAAAAATCTTTACAATCTATTTCCCTGTATATCCACACACTACTACATGTATTGAAATTCTTTTCGTCGTTTTATAACTTATGCGTCGCACCTCCCGTTCCCCGTCTCAACCGATCTCGCGTTAAATCGGCGCGCGAGCCTCGTGATCATCACGTCGCATCCAACGTACATCATACATACCGTGGATAGAAACGTTACACGCTCGCGGGAACGCTTTCGTCAGAGAAAGATCGTCAACATTCGGCTCGGGCGCACGCCCGTTACTCGCAAGATATTCCGCCGACGCACACGCGAAATCGTCTTGGTTGACCGCCGAACAAAAATGCCGAGTCGATCCCCGCATTTTTGTTTCCATTCTCTTTTTTTTCCCTCCCCCC